CTTTTGCATTGAAATCTTTATTACAAGCAATCCTGCAGTTCATAAAGAACTTTGTTTTCCTACCTCCAGGAGTGCCATCTATTATTGCCTTGTTTATCTAAAAGTGCTCTTTCCCTTTAAACCTAGCCAAAAAGCCATATGTGTTGACTGTGAAACACAGTAGACTTTAATATGCATTTATGGTGTAATTACTACATTTTTGTGTCAATCCATGTTCATATTTACTGCAAACAATGCGCTGTCACTTTAATTCAACGCGTGCAGTGCAGCAATAGACTGTGGAAACGATCTCCGCCCTGCTGCAGACGCACCGCTAGTGGAACGTACTGCCGGACCGCAACCATGAGCAGTGAACGCTTTAATTCGTTAACATGAGCCCAGGAAAAAAAAAAAAAAAAATACACACTGCAAACGGAGAACTTTAAACCTAGCCAAAAAGCCATATGTGTTGACTGTGAAACACAGTAGACTTTAATATGCATTTATGGTGTAATTACTACATTTTTGTGTCAATCCATGTTCATATTTACTGCAAACAATGCGCTGTCACTTTAATTCAACGCGTGCAGTGCAGCAATAGACTGTGGAAACGATCTCCGCCCTGCTGCAGACGCACCGCTAGTGGAACGTACTGCCGGACCGCAACCATGAGCAGTGAACGCTTTAATTCGTTAACATGAGCCCAGGAAAAAAAAAAAAAAACATACACACTGCAAACGGAGTAATGGGAACCTGGCGTTATGTGTGTGCGCTGTGAGTGTGCATGAGCGCTCAGTCTCCAGGAGAGCGCCGCAAGCGCTGAACGGTTAAACACTGGCAAGAATTAAAAAGTAATGCAATATATAAACTTTAGTGACACTGCCTCGATTGTGCAAGTGAAAATTCCCGTGTCAACGGTGCGGCTTGCTTAGACACAAGTTGGTGATTTGAAGCCATTTGCGTATTTTGAGAGAGAAAGAGAGCACACGCGGTGATTCACTCACGCCGTTTGTGAAATTACGTCTCACACAAGGTTTTCAAATTACTTTAGAAGTGATTTAATGAAGAAATATGAAGGGGAGTACCTCACCTTCAGCATTATAATTATTTTATTTACACCGGACCGTCATTTGCATGTCGTGCCAAACCTCTCACGGCAGCGTCATCAGCTTGAGAATTTTTTTGAGATCTGCCTTTTTAGAGATCGCCGACCAATCATCCCAACGTGATTATCGGCCAATAGTGATCAGTAGTCGATCAATCGGAGCACCCCTACTCAAGGTGTAGGAAGAATGGGTCTTTTATTATTAAAATAAAACCAAAACAAACACTACCCCGAAGGGGAAAAAACAGGCAGGCAGGCCTGGACAAGGCACGCTGAACATAGGCCTACCACACACACGACGAATACGCACTGACATAAAACAACAAAACTGCAGACACCAGGAGAATAAATAGGGAGACAAAGAGGAGGGTAACGAGGGAGACACAGGTGGAGTAACTGAAACAATAATGAGATAACAAGAAGGGCGGTGTCAGACAATAGAGAGGAGCGCACATGGCACCAACAAACACACAACAAGCCATGTGCTCAAACAAACACACAGTGACATCTGGTGGCCAACTAGGGCACACCAGCAGAACTGTGACGATGCTTGCATCACACCTGTGATTTGCTATCTACTTGCTAGTTATGGCGTTATTTTAATGACGAGAGAACATTATTGTAGCGCGAAAGCACATTAATATAATGCGTGAGCGCAAATCTCTCCGCTTGCACACGGATTTCTTTTGCTCTCGCACAAAACCGGACGCGCGCGATTAGATACACGCTGCTCTAGCCCGGAGAGAGTGCGTGCACTTAATAACACGTTGTCTTTCCTCTCACTCAAACTGTGTCCTGTGCACTCTCAAATCCCTGTGCTCATGCACTATAGATATTAATTCTTTTCACACCTGAATTAAACGTTGTCAAAAGTTATCATTATGCACTTTTAAAATGTAGTCTCAAAACAGATTTGTGCAGGGCCTTTCCTTGATTTTTTATTGTTGTATTTTTGTTTTAATCAACATCAAATGCAAAAATAGATGTAAATGATGCAAGATATAATACAATAAATGCTCTAATAGCATGGCTGTTTGGACATTTATTGGGATTTTTTTTTTAATCCAGTGTTTGTTTTCAGTTCTGATTTTGATAATATGTGCATAATGATAACTTTTGACAACATTTAATTCAGGTGCGAAAAGAATTAATATCTATAGTGCATGAGCACAGAGATTTGAGAGTGCACAAGACACAGTTTGAGTGAGAGGAGAGACACGTTTTAAGTGCACGCACTCTCTCCGGGCGAGAGCAGCGTGTATCTGAGCGCATTATATTAATGTGCTTTCGCGCTACAACAATGCGCTCTCGACATTTGTCATTAAAATAATGCCATACTAGTAGGTTTTAGGTGGTTTTAGTGGGAGGGACATTCTTATTCTAGAAATAATCTAATTGGATGAAATCTGTGTAGTAGGCCTACAGGATGAGTCATAAATATTTATGTGCCCTTTTCCAGAAGAGAAAGAGATACATTTTAAATGTAAATGTCTGCTAATTATTTTTTAGCTGTATACTTAGCATAGATGAACAGAAGCTAACAGCCATGAACTTTAGGTTACAAAAGGTCTTTTTTTATTATTATTATTGTCTTAAAAATAATTTCCAGTGTTAGGTAATGCATATCCTTATATTACAAAGCTTTACCTTCTTATCAGTCAAAAGTAAAAGAGAAAGCTGGAAAAAAAAACACTGAGAGAGACTAAGAGAAAAAGAGCAAAAAATAGGGAAAGACAGGAAGCAAACTGTTGTTGCATAAGAGGAGTCTTCCTCTTTCATATCTGCAAACCCTCTGACCCCCACTTTCGCTCACTCACTCTCTCTCCCCATTCCCCTTTCAGTGGGTCCAATGCGAGTTGAATTTTCTGAGCCTGTAAATTTGGATATGGTGCGTAAAGGCAATCCACAGCTGGGGATGGGCGGCAGGTATAAACCCAACGATTGTGTGGCTCTACAAAAAGTGGCAATAATCATCCCATTCAGAAACAGAGGTGAACACCTGAAGTACTGGCTCCACTACCTTCACCCCATCCTACAGAGGCAACAGCTCGATTATGGGATTTATGTCATACAACAGGTACAGCACTCACAAACTATTTATTAACTTTTGCTCTTACACAGATGACAGAGCACCCTTACGAAAAAGAAGTTTATTCAAGTGTGCTATTAGTATACTTCTTTTAAACTAAAAATAGGAAAGTATGTACTTCTGATAAATGGGCTTTATGTACTTCTCAGAAATATGCTTAAAATGACATTTAAGTATACTTGACTTATACTTAGAAAAAGTGTTTTTTTGTTCTTACTTAAGTTTTGCTGCCATTAAAACAAAAGGGAGACACACCAAATACTAAAAGATTCTGAAATTAGTTTAAAAATTTCACTTAAACATATCACCTAATACATGTCTCTATACATCAATACATAACTCCTCTCTGTGTTTCTTTTTTGTCATTTCGATTCCCTTTCCACCACCTGTTCACCTTGTTCACAGGAAAATCAGCATGCAAACTGTCATGCAGCCTAAGAAAGCCATGCTTATTTGCTTATTTTCTTTTGTGTGTATCCCTGTGTTTATAACACAAAAGCGAGGTCATGCATGGCTGATTGACTGATTTAGCTGTGATCATTAAGGTCCTATCAATGTCAAAGCAATCTCGTTTGCATTAAACCCGTGTACGATTAATCTATTTACATGTTAACTTTACATTTCTAATGCGCTGAAGAATGCAGAATCAAATTGTTAATCGTCTTGAATCAAATCGTTCGGAATTTGCAAAATCTTCCTTGGATTGGATCGAATACCTGTGCATCGTGAATCGAATTGAAAGATTCACAGCCCTACTTTGCATAGTAAAGATCAGCAATAGGCTAAATATAATATACGGTCTCAAAATCTCTCAGCGTAATATACCACATTATCTTTTCATCAGCTTCTTTGCTGAATGACTCTGTAGATTTTGAGTGAGGTACAAAGGCTGAATAAAAGGCGTATATGATAATAGTCTATGAACCTAAAGCCATTTAGAGCAGCACCTGAAATGCATATCAGATGGTGTTGCTGGGTTTGGTCTTTGTGTGCTAAGTTTAGCTTTCGTGATGATTCAGTTTGTTTCAATGAGTAAGGAATGCAGCTCTTCCACTAAGTGTCATTATACAGCTATGTCGTGGCAATTTTCTATTTCAGTAAAGGTATGAGACAAAAGTCTTCTGAATATTTGTTTTCCTGCAGGGAAAGGTCTACATTCATACAGTCATTCAGGGTTGGCTGTAGATTGCAACAACGAGGAAACACCCAAACTCAAATCAAATGCGGATGCTTTGATCTCATCCAATCATAATGCATATTCAACATATATGTCCATTTAAGGTGCCTAACTATGTCCTCTAGATGCGTTTCGAAGAATTTAATGCGAATCATTGTCTAAGTAGCCAGGACATCTAGGGTGCTTTCACACTTGGTTCGATTGCTTGGTCCGAACCCGAGTTCGATTGCTCCCCCCTCCCCCCGCTGGACTGTGTTCACATTATATTATTTGGGTCCGAACCGCGGTTCGTTTACGTCATCAAGCCAGCAGCTGTTTACCCCATTGCTTAGTAACGAAGGCGCAGGAATACAGTCATTCAGGGTTGGCTGTAGATTGCAACAACGAGGAAACACCCAAACTCAAATCAAATGCGGATGCTTTGATCTCATCCAATCATAATGCATATTCAACATATATGTCCATTTAAGGTGCCTAACTATGTCCTCTAGATGCGTTTCGAAGAATTTAATGCGAATCATTGTCTAAGTAGCCAGGACATCTAGGGTGCTTTCACACTTGGTTCGATTGCTTGGTCCGAACCCGAGTTCGATTGCTCCCCCCTCCCCCCGCTGGACTGTGTTCACATTATATTATTTGGGTCCGAACCGCGGTTCGTTTACGTCATCAAGCCAGCAGCTGTTTACCCCATTGCTTAGTAACGAAGGCGCAGAGAAACTAAATAACATTTCGGTCTCACACACACTTGTCTTGCACACATACACAGATTTCCTATTATCGCTCAGCTCAAACTCAAGCATACTTTTGAATGCAAACGGAGATGGTCTAAAGAACACTCTTTAGTACAGTGAAGCAAATACTGAAAATAAAATGTCCTCCACAAGCTATTTCTAATTTTAGTCCACTGATGATAAGCTGAAGGTTAGAACCCAAGCACAGCTTTATTGAATGAAAGTAAACCAACTACTGTACAAAACATTTATACAAAACGAATATTTGAACATCTCTTTAACAGTCTTGACAAACTCACCAACAGCAGGTTACACAAGTAAAGCTAGACAGGAAACAGAGGAAATATGAGGGCTATATATAAACATGGGCTAATGACTAAACAAGACACACCTGAAAGTAAGCAAGACAGTGAACCAATGACGTAGTGGTGCTTCACCTGTGGTCTCAAACTCAATTCCCGGAGGGCCACAGCTCTGCAGAGTTTAGCTCCAACCAGCTCCAACTCACACCTGCTTGTAAGTTCCTAGTGATCCTGAAGAGCTTGATTAGCTGGATCAGGTGTGTTTGATTAGGGTTGGAGCAAAACTGTGCAGAGCTGTGGCCCTCCAGGAATTGAGTTTGAGAACACTGTGCTACACAGACGGGTGCGTTTCACAAAAGCATTGTTAGCTAACTATGGTCGTAAGATTCATTAAACTCTATTGGTAACAACGGAACTTAATACCATATTTGCTTTTGGGAAATGCACCCCAGATCGGTGTATGACATTAAAATACCACAAGAGCATGTGTTGCCATCTGCTCTCTAATCGCTCACACACTACTTTGATGTCCTACTACACTGATCTGTCTATGCAGCACCGCTTCACACCGAACACACCTATTGAAAACATGACACATGAACAAAGGAGCACGTCAAGACCACATGAGGGACACAAAACAGGAACCATGATTATGACAATTTGGATGGATGCATTAAACTGATCAAAAGTGACAGTAAAGACATTTATAATTTAACAAAATTTCTATTTCAAATAAATACTGTTCTTTTTGAACTATACATCAATACATTAACAACAAAAAAACTCATTAAGCAGCACAAATGTTTTCAGCACTGATTATAATAATAAGAAATGTTTATTGATGTCACAGAATATATAGTTTATTTAACAAGCCAAGAATAGGTAAAGAGCACCATCAATGTAAAAACCATACCAGACAATGAACTGAGGAAACTAAGGGCAATAAATACACAGGTAAATGAGGAACTAAACAAGACTCAAGTGAAGATAATGGGTAACCATAGAAAAAACAAGAATACCTAGAAACCAAAGCCAACAGGAAACCAGACGAAGAGGAACTAAACAGGGAATAGGAAACCAGAAACAGCAACATGAACATAACATCAATATAAGAATCTTATAACTGAATGACACACTTGAGCAGCAAATCAGCATATTAGAATGATTTCTGAAGGATCATGTGACACTGAAGACTGGAGTAATGATGCTGAAAATTCAGCTTTACCATCACAGGAATACATTACATTTTATGTAAGTTCCTAGTGATCCTGAAGAGCTTGATTAGCTGGATCAGGTGTGTTTGATTAGGGTTGGAGCAAAACTGTGCAGAGCTGTGGCCCTCCAGGAATTGAGTTTGAGAACACTGTGCTACACAGACGGGTGCGTTTCACAAAAGCATTGTTAGCTAACTATGGTCGTAAGATTCATTAAACTCTATTGGTAACAACGGAACTTAATACCATATTTGCTTTTGGGAAATGCACCCCAGATCGGTGTATGACATTAAAATACCACAAGAGCATGTGTTGCCATCTGCTCTCTAATCGCTCACACACTACTTTGATGTCCTACTACACTGATCTGTCTATGCAGCACCGCTTCACACCGAACACACCTATTGAAAACATGACACATGAACAAAGGAGCACGTCAAGACCACATGAGGGACACAAAACAGGAACCATGATTATGACAATTTGGATGGGAATTGAGTTTGAGAACACTGCTACACAGACAGGTGCGTTTCACAAAAGCATTGTTAGCTAACTATGGTCGTAAGATTCATTAAACTCTATTGGTAACAACGGAACTTAATACCATATTTGCTTTTGGGAAATGCACCCCAGATCGGTGTATGACATTAAAATACCACAAGAGCATGTGTTGCCATCTGCTCTCTAATCGCTCACACACTACTTTGATGTCCTACTACACTGATCTGTCTATGCAGCACCGCTTCACACCGAACACACCTATTGAAAACATGACACATGAACAAAGGAGCACGTCAAGACCACATGAGGGACACAAAACAGGAACCATGATTATGACAATTTGGATGGATGCATTAAACTGATCAAAAGTGACAGTAAAGACATTTATAATTGAACAAAATTTCTATTTCAAATAAATACTGTTCTTTTTGAACTATACATCAATACATTAACAACAAAAAAACTCATTAAGCAGCACAAATGTTTTCAGCACTGATTATAATAATAAGAAATGTTTATTGATGTCACAGAATATATAGTTTATTTAACAAGCCAAGAATAGGTAAAGAGCACCATCAATGTAAAAACCATACCAGACAATGAACTGAGGAAACTAAGGGCAATAAATACACAGGTAAATGAGGAACTAAACAAGACTCAAGTGAAGATAATGGGTAACCATAGAAAAAACAAGAATACCTAGAAACCAAAGCCAACAGGAAACCAGACGAAGAGGAACTAAACAGGGAATAGGAAACCAGAAACAGCAACATGAACATAACATCAATATAAGAATCTTATAACTGAATGACACACTTGAGCAGCAAATCAGCATATTAGAATGATTTCTGAAGGATCATGTGACACTGAAGACTGGAGTAATGATGCTGAAAATTCAGCTTTACCATCACAGGAATACATTACATTTTAAAATATATTAAAATAGAAAACAGTTTTTTTTATTATTGTAATAATAATGTAATACAAATTACTAACCCCAAACTTTTTAATGGTAGTGTGCTGATTTGGCTAGTTTATGTAAGAGGGGAAAAAAACATTTCCCATTAAAAAAACTACATATGAAAAAACCACATTTCCATAGTCTTGATTAAATGTGCAGATAAAGCATTGATAACACAAAATGTGTATCTGTTTTCTTATATTAGCATTAATCTTCCAGTTGCACCAGTTTTTTTCCAATCAAAATTGCTATATTGTAATTATAACTTCAAACTTGTAAGTAGGAAGTTCCCAGTTCCCAGGGGATTGTTGCACAAACAATTATACAATATCAAGATTGTCAGTATGACAAATTTTTCATTCAAAAATTGTTTATTTAAAATGCAGGTTGCCATATAAACAGTATTTTGGGGGTGTATCAGCAGTGAGTAAAGAGCAGTTTCAAAAGATCAATGGTTTTCCCAATAACTACTGGGGCTGGGGAGGAGAAGACGATGACATCTTTAACAGGTGAGGAAAATATATAATTTCCTTACTATTACTTACAAATTCTCTCTTGTAATATATGAGGTTACTTAGATAAAGGAAGAGTTTGAGGGTCATTATTTTTGAAGGCTGGTATTTCAAGGCATGAAAATATCAAGGCCGAGTGGAGACATGGGTAAATGCAGAATGATTCGTCACTCAAGAGACAAGAAAAATGAGCCAAACCCACAGAGGTAATCTCTCTTTCACAAACACACACACACACACACACACACATATGCAGTAATACAAGACAGACTGAATGAAATTCTAAAGCTGCATCTCTATTTCATAGATTTAGGAGAATTTCTCACACACGACAGACAATGAAGACGGACGGCATCAAATCGCTCAGTTACAAAGTGGTGGATATAGAGAAAGACCTGCTCTACACCCAAATCACAGTGGACATCGGCAAGCCATGAAACCTCTAGAGCTCACAAGAAACATTTAGCTCACTGCAACTTTTCAGAGATCTTTAAACTGCACATCTGACTCTGAATCGGTTCAACCCTAGTGGACAACAAAGAAAACACTGAACAAGTCAGAATGAAAGAGACATTCTTCTGAAGGGCACACTAAGTGAAAGAACAGGTGAATTGTAATTTTTCACATTATACTTACCTGTAAGCCTTATATGCCTGTTAATTGTCTGTTTCAGACTTTAATGAACATTATTTTCGTAAAGCTTCCATGCAAAGCAGCCTGTGAAAATCACGCCTCGGGGAATAACTGACTACTGTGAATTCCAGTTCAACACAAACCTGCACACTCACACAAAACACCTTACAGAGCTTTTAGAGATGACAGTTCAATATGTACACATATCCTTGTAGTAAGTATGCATCAGTAGTTTGATCTTTTAGACTAACTTTACATTAGTGCCCTGTGGTAAGTACTCAGACACTGAGTATTATTAAAGGGATAGTTCACCCAAAAAATGAAAATTCTGTCATCATTTACTCACCCTCATGTTGTTCCAAACCTGTATGAGTTAGAAGTTATTTTAAAGAATGTTGGTAACCAAATATTTGATGGTAGCCATGTTTTTTTTTCATACTGTAAATGGCTACCATCAACAATTTGTTTACCAACATTCTTCAAAATATCTTTTGTGTTCAAAAGAAGCAAGAAATTCATACAGGAACAACTTGAGGGAGAGTAAATGATCACTTTAATGAAAAAAATGTATTTAATACATTTTAAATACAAAATATTGTTTTTTAATATCATACGTACCAGACACTCTTGTAAAGTGTTATTTTTTCCCAATAAAACATCATTTTGATTGGTGGAGGTTGAGTGTTGTGTTTCATTAAGCAATGAAAAATATTTCACACTTGGCCAGTGGGACCTACTGAATATTGAGTGAAAATATTTTGGGATATTA